GTCAGAGGGAGAAGCAGACTCCCCGCTGAGCAGGGAGCCCGATGTGGGACTCGATCCCGGGACTCCAGGATCATGACCCGAGCCGAAGGCAGTCGCCCAACCGAGCCACCCAGGCGCCCCTACCCTATTCAATTTAGAGTCAACTAGCCCCAATACTACTACCACCTGGTCTGTGAATACAGCCAATCTTTGTTCAATGCCACAATGTGCCGGATACTGACTGAGGTGCTAAGTGTACGAAAATGACTAAGAAGCAGTTCTTGATCCCAAGTAGCATAATCCTGGTAGGGGGGAGGAGGGCGGTGGAGAAGTTGGGTGGACAGAAAGTACCAGGGAACCACAATACATTATAGAAGTATTATGACAATGGTATGTACTGGGTGCTAAGGGGGAACATAAAAGAAATACCTAACCTAGGCTTGCAGGGAGGACCAGGGAAGGTTTCACAGAGGAGGTGTTTCCTAAACTGAGTCCTCATTTAGTAAGGTCGATAGGTGAAGAATGGAGAAGGACAGCTGAAGCAGAGGGTTCAACAAATGTAAAGATCTGAAAGTAAGAAAAGCATGGTGAGCTTGGAATCACAAATATTTCAGTGTGGCTGGAGCCTGAAGCACCAGAGAAGGGCTGGTGAGAGAGAGGGCTGCAAATGTAAGTAGGGGCCAGGTCATAAATAGGAGTAGTAGTAGTAGTAAGGAGGGTTTACATTTGAGAAAGATTCCCTGGGGAAGTAGAGAGGATGGATTGAAGAGGGAATAACAAAAATAGGGAAGTCAACCTACTATTTAGGAATTGTCTTTTTTTTTTAAAGATTTATTTATTTATTTGAGAGAAAGAGACACAGCGAGAGAGGGAACACAAGCAGGGGGAGTGGGAGAGGGAGAAGCAGACTCCCCACTGAGCAGGGAGCCTGATGCGGGGCTCCATCCCAGGACCCTGGGATCATGACCTGAGCCGAAGGCAGACGCTTAATGACTGAGCCGCCCAGGCGCCCGGAATCCTCTGACTCTTAATGGTGGACCGAATTAAGACAGTGGCAGGAGGGACTCAAGACATTCATCTAAGGGTCACAATAATAAGACAGACTTTGCTGTTGGTTGGAAGACAAATAATAAACAACAATAAAAGCATACCCTTTGAAAATGCTATTAAGTAAAATACCTGATAGACAATAATGGAGGGGCTTACTTCATAAGGGGTCAGGTGATAAAAAGGTCTTCTTTGACAAGGTGGTATTTATGCTGAAACCAAAAGAATAAAAAGGCTTTAAAAGGCAAGAGAGGGGAACAAAAAGAGAAGAAAATTAAGGGGAAAAAAAACAGAAAAAGAGTTTTACTATTCCAGGAAGACCCTTAAGGGTACTAAGTCTATAATAAACTGGGAAAGAGTGACATAAGAGGTTGAAGAGCATGATCAACAGTTTTTTACTCTATGTTTAATAAGACACTGATGGATTTTAAGCAAGCAATTAACACAACATGTGTGGGGCTATTACAAGCTAGGTGTGAAAGCAATTAAGGCAGAGAAAAGAGGACACACCAGAGGTACATTTCGGTACAAATCTAGAAACAGATTTTGCTGATTACAAAGGAGGTGAGGCAACTGAAACCTGTGAATGGTAGTGTTACTTGCAAGGAGAACAGAAGGTGGGAAACAGATGAATGGTAGTGTTACTTGCAAGAATAGAAGGTGGGAAACAGATGAGTTCAATCTAGACATGTCCAGTTTGAAGTACCTACAGAATAGACCACAGAGATCGGGGAGTCAACAGAATATACACAGTAAATGATGCCATGGGAGTGGATCTGATTGCCCAGGATGAGTGCGGAATAAGGGCAAAAACCGCAATTTATATAAAGGTTGGGCAGGGGAAAAACGGGGCTCAGAATTAGCCAGAGAAATAGGAGGGAAATTAAAACTTGGTTTTATTAAAGGGAGTGTTTTCAAGGAGGGAGTGGCTGACAGGGCCATTCTTAGTAAAGAGGAATTAGTGACCTTAATAAAGAGCAATTTCGATGTGGCAGTGGTCAGTTTGCAGCAGGCTGAAGAGCAAATGAGGGGCAAGGGCCCGAAGACAGTCAATGCACTAAGTGAGGAGATGAGCCTCAAAGAAAAGGGGACCATGGCGGGAGGGGCAGGCTGTCATTCATGTTTCAGAGGGGCTCGTCATGCCCAGGGCTCATGGGTCACTCTTCTCCAAGTGCCAGAGGTAGGCAGACAGTGGCATGGAGCACCTCCTCCAACACTGTGCTCTGGTGGAGAAAGCACTGACCTGTCCACGCCCCAAGTTCCACTCTTCTGAAGTACCTTTTGCACCCCACCCCTATTAGGACAACCAGTCCCCTCCCATCTGGGAGCCCCTTTTTCTTTCTGTCCTTTAGCCCTTCCTGCCACCCAGCCACTGCCCAGGGGTGCCCCCTCCTCTCCTACCCTCCCCACCCTTGTGGCCAGCCAGGCTGGGTTTGTAAGATATTAGGTTGGTACAGTGGTTTTTTTTTCTTGTAATTTAAACAGGCCCAGCTTTACTGGTTCTACTTAATGGACATGAGATATGGTAGAGGTTTTAAAGTGATTAAATGTGCAGACTATGCAAATAAGGAAAAAAATGATGAAAGGGAGAGATGGGCCAGTGGACAGAAAGACAAAGGAGGTCCTCATCACTGTGTATGACTACCCTGTCACTAAGAGACTCTGAAACCATAAAATCACAAGAGGAGTATCATCTGAGGAAAGTGCCCCTTTTCAATAATAATCTCAAATACTTATCATTGTTTTATGACACTGACAAGGCGAACGTGTGTGTTGTCTAAATTTTCAAAGTTCGACAACACATATTTACTCAACTCACAATTCCATATTGGAGAGAGAGGGTTCTCATGTTAACACCCTACTCATAGTTTATAAAGAAAAGTTAGTAGTGGAATAAAAAATTGGTCTACTCAGATCACGGGCTAAACTATATAAAAACAACTTAGTAAGATATTCTATTAACATTACCTGAGACATTCTATTAAAGTTTTAGCTACAAGTATCAAAAGAAATTTGAAAGTAGAACCTTGTGATTAAAAAAGAGATCAAATATTTATAAAAGACACCTTTCTCTTCTTTCAGCAGGACCCTCTCCAAAAAGTGTGATGGGCTCCCCCAAGGCTCTAAGGCAAGCCTTGACCTCTGAGTCATCAGTGGAAACATTGATTTGCCGGGCTCGCTTTCTTCTCTCAAACTCGGCTAACACTTCGGCCTGTCGTTCACTGATGTGCTCTTCAATTTCAAACACCTCTCCTATAAAAAGAACAGGCAATATCAGCATAATCACCAGATCTTCTTCAAATAGGGGGAAAAAATAATTTCTTAAAATTCCAGTCTGCGTATCCTCTGGGAACTAGTCCATTATATACTTCATAGTTTACTGTTTCTCAGTTTATTAAATTGTGCCAAACACAAAAAACTAAATTACATAGCTTTAAAAGGCAGGAAAACTGCACATCTTACTTTTTTTTATTTTGAAGATTTTATTTGAGAGAGAGAGTGCACGCACGAGTGGGGGGAAGAGCGGAGGGAGAAGCAGACTCCCCACTGAGCAGGGAGCCCCATGCAGGGCTCAGATCCCATGACCCTGAGATCATGATCCGAGCCAAAATCAAGAGTCAGATGCTTAACTGAGCCATGCAGGCGCCCCCATGCCATCTTATTCTGACAACCTTACACCTATATAAACACATAACTTAGATGAGATGAGAAAGTAAGAGTATGAAGCACCTTCAGCAAATGAATTAAGTAGACACCTCCTATCCAGAAGATAAAATAGACACATTATTTTAACACTTGCCAAAGCTATTCTCTAAAACAGTCCCAGTCTGTGGACATCTACAAATGTAACTAATAAACTGGAGATAATTTCCATGAAAATGCTATCCCTTGACTATAGGCTTTTTTATGTTCAGTTAGCCAACATATACTACATCATTAGTTTTTGATGCAGTGTTAAACGATTCATTAGCTGCATATAACACCCAGGGCTCATCACAACACCTGCCCTCCTCCCATCACCCAGTTACCCCGTCCCCCCACCCCTCCTTTCTGTAACCCTCAGTTTGTTTCCCAGAGTCCAGAGTCTCTCATGGTTTGTCTCCTCCTCTGATTTCTTCCCATTCAGTTTTCCCTCCCTTCCCGTGGTCCTCCGCAATTCCTTATGTTCCACATATGAGTGAAACCATATGATAATTGTCTTTCTCTGCTTGACTTATTTCACTTAGCATAATCCCCTCCAGTTCCATCCATGTCTTGACTAAAGGCTTTTTGAATAATCTAGCAGGTTTTTAAAAAATTTTTAAATATATAATTTTTTTTTTAAAGATTTTATTTATTTGACAGAGAGACACAGAGAGAGGGGGAACAAAAGCAGGGGGAGTGGGAAAGGGAGAAGCAGGCCTCCTGCGGAGCAGGAAGCCCAATGCAGGGCTCGATCCCAGGACCCTGAGATCATGACCTGAGCCGAAGGCAGACGCTTAACTGACTGAGCCACCCAGGTGCCCCCCAAATTTTTAAATATATGTATTTTTTTTTTAAACTTTTTAATTTATTCATTTGAGACAGAGATACAGAGAGAGAGAGAGAGAGACAGACAGAGAGAGAGCGAGCGAGCATGAGCAGGGAGAGAGGCAGAGGGAGAAGCAGGCTCCCTGCTGAGCCAGGAGCCCGATGTGGGGCTCGATCCCAGGACTCTGGGATCATGACCTGAGCCGAAGGCAGACGCTTAACCATCTGAGCCACCCAGGTGCCCCTTTAAATATATTTTTTTAAAGATTTTATTTGACAGAGAGAGTACAAGCAGGGGGAGCGGCAGACAGAAGGCGAGGGAGAAGCAGGCTCCCACTGAGCAGAGCGCCTGATGTGGGGCTCGATCCCAGAACACTGGGATCATGACCTGAGTCAAAGGCAGTCGCTTAACCGACTGAGCCACCCAGGCGCCCCTATTTTATTTATTTTTAAGATTTTATTTATTTATTTGACAGAGAGAGAGAAGACAGCGAGAGAGGGAACACAAACAGGGGGAGTGGGTGAGGGAGAATTAGGCTTCCTGCTGAGCAAAGAGTCCCGCAGGCTCGATCCCAGAATCCTGGGATCATGACCTGAGCCGAAGGCGGATGCTTAATGACTGAGCCACCCAGGCACCCCGGATTTTTTTTTTTAAAGTAGGCTGCACACCCAGTGTGGAGCCCAACGTGGGGCTTGAACTGACACCCCTGACATCAAGACCTGAGCTGAAATCAAGGGTCAGATGCTTAACTGACTGAGCCACCCAAGCGCCCCTGAATACAAGGATTTTGATGAAAAAGTGAGAATTAGAGTGGTGATGCAACCTAAAATAGCCTAAACAGTTAAAAAAGTCATTAAAGTGCATGTATATAGAAAAGAAAATGTGTGGGAGGATCAATGAGAAACTTAAGTCCTTTCTGTAGAGAAGTCTATTCATTTTATACCCTCTGTACTGTTTGAATTTCTTATGACAAACATGTACAACTTTAGAGATGATCTCAGGTTACAAGATCGAGCCTCACATTGGGCTCCATGCTGAGCGTGGAGCTTGCTTGGGGTTCTCTCTCTCCCTCTCCCTCTGTTTCCCCCTCCCCCCCCACATGCACACGTGAGGCTGCGTGCTCTCTCTCTCTAAATAAATAAAGGACCATTAGTTATTGACGTGGAAAGCTATCCTCAACAGTATATCAGTGAAAAATGCACGTTATACAACAATTTGTATACGTTTCATTTGTGAAAAAAATGACAAATTTTTACAGCTTTATTAAATTGGAAAGATGTAGAGCCAATTAATAAGGATTACAGGATTTTCTACTTTACACATTTCTACACTTTGATTTTTTTTAAGATTTTATCTATCTATTTGAGAGAGAGAGAGCGCGCACGCACGCACGTGCACAGAGGGAGAGTGAGAGGGAGAAGCAGACTCCCTGATGAACGGAGAGCCCAATGTGGGGCTTGATCCCAGGGCCCCGAGATCATGACCTGAGACGAAGGCAGACACTTAACCGACTGAGCCACCCAAGTGCCCTAACGCTTTCTTTCAAAATAAAAATATTACTTTTATGATTTAAAACAGATATTTCATTTAGCGTGAAAAACTGGAAAACTAAAAAGGAGAGAATGTTAAAAACCATAGTAGCTTCAAACCAATGCCAGAACTATACTAGATCTCTGGAAGACAAATGGCATCAACTTGAATCCAAATACACACTGAATAAATTCCTCATAAGATCACTAACAATTCAATGGAAGAAAAATTGTATAAAAGGTTTTAAGAGAAAGGCTCTTTGGATGATGCTAACCAGGGTAGGCAAAGGATGGCTTTACCTAAATCCAAGTTTAATTGAAATTTTTGACTATAATACAAAGATAAAGAGAGACTCACTATTTGCATCTTACCAGAGGTTATGTTAATATTTCCTGCTTCAATTCCAGCTTTAAGTCCTTCTTTTCCCAAAATCCCAGACTCTCCTTTGGCCAGACGCTCCCTCTCCTTCTCTTCCAAACTTCCGTAATAGATGTGTGGTTTCTTCACAACAGGAGCAACTAAGTCATCAGGTGCCTTAGTTTTGGCTGCCTGATAAATCAAAGACATGGATTAACCTGAGGCTTAATCTCAGTCATTTATTAGGCTTCCCCAAAGGATGGAGCTCATCCTGAGCTTCAATCCTACTTCTTCCCCAAAGGAAAGGACAAGTTGGCCACCAGTTAAGATATCTCCACTGATTGGGGGCGGGGGTGTGTGTGTCTCTCGATTACTTAGGTTTTGCAGATAGGAAAAAGCTAATAAAACTAGTTACTCTTGGTAATTTTTTTTTTATCAAAGATTTGCTTTGGAACATATTTACATCGTTCCGTTGCAATCTCTTCTTGGGTCTTATGAAACTTCCAAGGCTACTGCTCATCACAGGGGAAACATCAAGGATCACAAATAACCAACGCAATATTGAGGGGAACTAGTTCGTTACTGGTCTACACGTTTCAAAAACGCATTCAGACGTAAGGCAATATATATGAAGTTAGGAGGCCTTACTACAAAATTAAGAAATCTGACGTAGACATAAATCTGAACCAAGATACTACTCCCTTCCAGAGCTCCGTTTTTGGACCAGTTGGAAGAGGTATTTACAGTTTGAGGCTGTAGTGAGAGGTGCAAATGAACTAAAACACAGGAACGCACGTAGGAATCAGGAAAACGCTGCTCTAAGACAGGACCGAGTCTCGCAGCCTTTCACCTCAGTCCTCCACCACTTAGCCCGTTCCCGAGCGGCCCCATCTCGCAGTAACCACTTCCCCAACCCCTTCCGCGTTCCTCGCCAGAGTGAGCTGAGATCCGTACCGTGGAGGAGCCTCGTGAGGTAGCCATGCTGAGCTCCGAGCCGCGAAGCCCCAGCTAAAGCCGAGCTCTACGTTTCAGACAGTCCACCGCGCGCCCAGCAAAGCGGAACTACGTCACTGACCGGAAGTGGGCCGAGGGCCGATGCCGCGTCCTGGGTGGCGTGGAGCATGATGGGAGTTGTAGTACGGAAGAGTCGTGGCGCGAAGAGTTGCGTGAACCGTGGAGCCTCTGAGAAAAGCACGCGGAAGACGAGGTTCTGCAGGAGAGAATCTCAGAGCAGTCTGGGAAGTGTAGTCCAGTTCGCTTAGCAGAAGATTCGCGGTGGGCGCCGGAGTTCCGGCAAAACGCTGAGCAGGCTTCAAAAGAGGTAGGTTCGTCGAGTCGCGCGGCCTGGGGCTGAACTCCGGAGCAAATGGAGGGCTTCCGAGGCCTGACGTCGCTTCTGGCCCTCCGAGAGGCTTCAGTCGTGCTGGAGCGGAGGGCCATGTTGCCATGGAAACCCTCGCTCTGGACCCGGGAGTGCCACTCTGGAGCAGCGGAGGGAGTGCTGTTCTCCTCTGCTGTCGGGAAGTTTTCCCAAGGGCCTTCTGAGCTGGGTGAATTTTTGGGGATTTGGGCATTGGCGACAGATTAAGCTCGAAGAGCCCTCTAGCGCCAAAGTACAATAAAGACCCGAAGGAGGAGCCATGGCCTTGTTTTGTTGTTTGTGTTCAGCCGGGTCTTTGTATCTGATTCAGAGTGAGAAGATGCCTGTGAAGGCGTCAGGTAAAGTAAACGCTGCCAACTCTGCGTGGCCCTGTGTTCCGCTGGGGACTGGGGCAGCGGAGATGAACAAGACGAGGACTTTGTCCCCGTGTCGGGGGTGGAGATGCTTAAAATATTGGTGTTCCTCGAGCTGGACAGAGCCGCCCCTAACCTCGCCAAGGACAATTACAGTAATAATAACTATTATTTATTGGGCGTTTACCAAATGCCAAATTATGTTCCAGAAACTTACACTGCCTTACCTCGTTCAATCTATGCAACAGAGTACAGAACACGAGGAAACTAAAGTCTAGTGAAAGATGAAGCTAATTGTCCAAGATCAGTGGCGTGTGGGATTAGAATCTCTGTCCTCTGCCCTTTTTCTTGAGCGAGAACTTTTGCCCTTTACTCTGTACTACCTCCTAGTGGCGAGCTTTACACAGTTTGCAGAAAACTAAAGAAAATACAAGAAAATGTACAGCAGAGCTTTTTTCTTTTAAATATTCTTTCCTCCCTACTCGCCCTTGGAACATTGGCTTCCTCTACCATTTGTTTACATGGCTTTAAGATAGTATCTGATTGATTTATTTATTTTAGTTTTGTTTTTTTTTAAGATTTTATTTTTACTTCTACACCCAACGTTGGGCTGGAACTCACAACCGGGAAATAGAGTCCCATGCTCCACCGACTGAGCCAGCCAGGCACCCCAAGATAATATCTGAAACAATATAAAACAATATGAAATGTAATGTGCCACTGTTTGTGTTGAGAATATCACCTGTTCTGTTCCAAGCTTCACAGAAGGATATGTTTCTTCTTTTGTATACTTAACAGTCTCTAGCTACATCCTAAATAGATGTAATAATAATTTATACCTGTACGTACTTTTTTTTGTTAAAGATCTTATTTATTTATTTAAAAGAGAGAGTGGGCTCGTGCATGTGTGCATGGGCCAGGGTAGGGGCAGAGAAGCAGACTCCCCACTGAGCAGGGAGCCCCATGTGGGACTGGATGCCAGGACTCCGTCTCAGGACTCTGGGATCATGACCTGAGCCAAAGGCAGGCACCGAACCAACTGAGCCATCCAGGCGTCCCCCCCCCCTTTTTTTTTTTTTAAAGTAGGCTCCACACCCAATATGGGGCTTGAACTCATGACGCTTAGATCAAGAGTCTGATGCACTATTGACTGAGCCAAACTGGCACCCCTATAGCTGTACATACTTTAAAGGAGCTTTCATTTACATCATTCTCATTTAATCTTCACCATGTGACCTATGTATAAATTTTACAGGAGGCTGACATTTATTAACCAAACAAGCGTTTCAACTTCATTTATAAAATAGAGGTAATTTTGCCAGCATCACAGGGTTTCTGTGTTCAAATAAAAATGTAAAGAATGGGAATGGAAAAGTGTAGCCCAGTGCTCAAAAAAGTTCATTTAACTTTATTTGGGTTTCTCAGTTTATTCAACAACACATGTACTGAGTGGTTATTATAGATACACTCTGCTGGATGCTATGGAGAATATAAAGATGATGCCATTAACAGGTATTAAACTGACTCAGGGAGTTTCATTGTCTTAAAAAAAAATGTTTTTTGTTAGCATAAGCATTACCTTGGGCTTTCAGCCTCAGGATTGTTCTTTTGAGCCTCTTTGTGTTCTTGTTCTCTCTACCTTACTCCCCTTTCTCTGTCTGCCCTTCACAAGTCAGCTAAGACATTTCCTCCAGAAAGGCTTCCATGTCCCTGTTTACCCCACACTCCACCCAGACTGGATTGGGTGCCTGTGTGATGCCATTGCATTGTCCTCCATCAGAGTCCTTATTAGAATATGTTGCAATTTTTTGTTTATGTGTTTGTTTTCCCCACAGGCTGTGACTATGCCTTTTAACTCTGGAGAGGGAGCATAAGAAGTGTTTGTTTAATGAATGAATGACCTATCCATTTAGGACCTGTTTAGACCCTGAGGATAACCCTGTGAGTTGGTGAGTTATACGGAGTTTTCAGGAGATTTAGTAAGCTGATTTTAGTATTCAGGACTGATAACAAATTGTCACAGTTCTTATGCAGAGTTGATCAAATTTAATGGCTTATGTACTCTCCCAGTAATTATACTGAATTAAGATATGTTATTTTAACTTTATTCTCTGTGCTAGAGTATTTCTTTGAATGTGATTTCAGTATAAGATTAAAGTGATTGTTGCTTAGAATCCTCTTTTATAGGCAGCTTGCTCTTTTTTTTCTTGAAGACTGTTTTTTTTTGGAATTGCAGAGTTATGGATCTTCATCATGTAATAATCATACATCTGATGACTTAGAAGTCTATGTGTGAACCCAAATGAGTCTTTTGTATCACCATTCCTTTAACATGCATGCTGACAAATTGATCTTGTATTTGTAGCTGAGATTCATCCCCTCCAGTTTTTCCTCCTCTGCTATTTCTAACAGCTGATAGTTCATTGGGTCTGGCCTTCAGTGTTGATCTCAGTATGCTGCGGCGAAAACCAACCCGCCTGGAGCTGAAGCTTGATGACATTGAGGAGTTTGAGAGCATTCGAAAGGATTTGGAGGTAAGAGTACAACTTTCGAATCCTTAGGGATATTTAAAACAATAACTTTAACTTTTGAACTCCAGACTCTTACCAACAGCTTATTTGAAACCTCTATTTGGATGCTGGAAGGCATCTCAAACTTAATGTGTCAGTTTCCTGTGGCTTGCCATAACAAATTACCACAAACTTGGTGGTTTAAAAAAACAGAAATGTATTCCTTTACCATTCTGTAGGCCAGAAATCTGAAATCAGTTTCACTGGTCCCAAATCAAGGTGTCAGCAGGACCACGGTCCCTCCAGAGGCTGTAGAGGAGAATCTGTTCCTTGACTCTTTCAGCTTCTGGTGACCACTGGCATTCCTTGATTTGTGGCCACATCGCTCCAATCTCTGCGTCCGCGATCACATTGCTTTCTCCTGTTGTGTCTGTGAAATCTCCCTTTGCCTTCTCTTACAAGGATACCATGGGATGGCATTTTAGGGACCGCCCATGTAATCCAGGATAGTGTCTCCCATCTCAAGATCCTTATCACATCTGCAAAGACCCTTTTCCATAGAAGGCAACATTCAGAGGTTCAGGGATTTGGACCTGAGAGCCTTGGGAGTCACTGTTCCTGCACTTAACATGTTAAACGAAAGCCCTCTTGATTTCTTCCTCAAGCCAGTTTCAGGTGTTCCCTATGTCAGTATCTCTGCAGCTGCTTGAGCTAGAAACCTAGGAGTCCCTCTTGAGTTCTCCCTTTTCCTTACCCTTTGGATTCACCCCGTGCATCTCCATGGTTACTACCTTAGTCCAAGTGACCATCACCCCTCTCTCTACAATCTCAGTTGTGTCCTCAGTGGTCTTCCTACTTCCATTTTTATCTCGTTAATCTATTCTATGTCAGGTTTCTAGAATGATCTTTAAAAATTTTCGGATCATGTCATTCCCCTGGAACTCAATGGTTTCTTGCACTTAGAATAAAATCTCAGTTTCTTATCATGGCCTCCACATTTTGTATGTCCTGGCTCCTCAGGTTTCAGCTCCTGCCATTCTTTGCCCTGGCTTCTGTGCCCCAGGCACGTTGGCTTGCTTTCATTTCCTTGAACACAGCAACCTCTTTATCGTGCACGGCCTTTGTACATGTTGTTTTCCTCTTCCCCTGTCTTCATGTCTGTTGAAACGTTGCTTCTTTAGTCTGAGAGGCTGCTTCTGACCCTATTCAAATTAGGGGTGTCATTCCCATCCATGCTATCCCTCCTTAGGGTCTCTCAGAGCACTTTAGTTTTTTTATTTTTTAATTGTTATGTTAATCACCATACATTACATCATCAGTTTTGGATGTAGTGTTCCATGATTCATTGTTTGTGCATAACACCCAGTGCTCCATGCAGAACGTGCCCTCTTTAATACCCATCACCAGGCTAACCCATCCCCCCACCCCCTCCCCTCTAGAACCCTCAGTTTGTTTCTCAGAGTCCATTGTCTCTCATGGTTGGTTCAAAGCACTTTATTTTATTTTTTTTTTAAGTAATAATCCATGCCCACCGTGGGTCTTGAACTCACAATCCCAAGCTCAAGAGTCACATGCTCTACCAGCTAAGCTAGCCAGGTGCCCCAGAGCACTTTATCCTTTTATTTTATAGCATTTATTGTAATTTACAATGATTTGTTTATTGTAGCATTTACATTAGGAACCTTGATTGTAGATATCATGTTTGTCTTCTCCACTGGTGAGCTCCCAGCATTTGGGAAGGAGCTCATCCCTGTATCATGGTGGGAGCTCAATATGTACTTTTTTTTAAAGATTATTTATTTATTTATTTGAGAGTGAGACAGAGAGAGCACAAGTGGGGTTTGGAGCAGAGGGAGAGGAAGGAGAATCAGACTCCCTGCTGAGTGTGGAGCCCAACGTGGGGCTCGATCCCAGGACTGTGAGATCATGACCTGAGCCAAAAGCAGATGCTTAACTGACTGAGCTACCCAGGCACCCCATCAATATGTATTTTTAAGTGTAGCTTATCCCACAGTATTAAATGATGTCCATTAATAAGACTTAAATTCTTCAGTGGCTCTGAGAATAAAGTCTAGATTCCTTAGGATGGCATACAAGGTCCTTTGTGGCCTAGTCCTTGCTCATTTATCTTTATCTTTACTTTATCTTCCACTGTCAAGTTATCTTTAACTTTGATCTTGGTGCCTCTGCACACTTGGTTGCCTTCCACAGAAAAGTCCTTTCAGTATGATTTAAACGTTAGCTGTAATGAGTCTCATAAAATGTTGGCATACTGAACTTTGATTCTGCAGAATCAGCTCACTATTGAGTTAGTGTTTCTGCAAAAGGCAATTGTCCAATGGGTTTGACCTGTTTTAGAGCAGCTTAGGGAGGGATAGATTTGCCCTAAACTAAAATAAAATGAAACCAGTAGAAACTGGTATTTCATTTGATACTGAAACGAGTTTAACTATATTTTGATGACTGGATTCTGAAACATTCAGTAGTTGTTCATGGTGGGAAGCCTTTTAAATGATTTCATACCATTTGGACATTCTCAGTTTCTCGTGGCTTATAAAATGATAGTATCCTTTGCCTTTTAACCTGTTTTCACTGAGCTATTTGTAGTGTTACTTATTGGTAGTGTAGACTAGAGAGTAACTCAGAAAGGTCATTTTATACACACACACACACACACACATAAGGTAATACCTTATTTGATTTAGTATGACACTGTGAAGTTGGCATTTAATGCTGAATTCATTAGTAAGTGGTGAAGAATGGTGGCGATTCCAGTGGTTAGAGTAGTCAAGCCATTCTTCCAAGGAACGCTAGATAAAACATTTGTTCACTGTCTCAGAGAATATTATTATCTAATATCTTTTGGTCAGGTAGTAGTAGTTATGTGATAAGTGTTAATCTCTTTTCGAAAATATCAAACTGAGGGGTGCCTGGCTGGCTCAGTTGGTGGATTGTGCAACTCTTGATCTTGAGGTTGTGAGTTCAAGCCCCACGTTGGGTGTAGAGATTACTTAAAAATAAAATCTTAAAAAAAATGATCAAACTGAGATACTGACTTGGTGAATTCTGCAGTCACTTGTGACTTAAGAGCCAAACTTTTTTTTTTTTTAAGATTTAATTAATTTATTTATTTGAGAGAGTGTGCGAGCAGGGGGAGGAGCAGAAGGAGGGAGAAAGAATCTCAAGCAGACTCTGTGCTGAGCACGGAGCCCCATGCAGGGCCGGATCTCACAACCCTGAGACCATGACCTGAGCTGAAATCAAGAGGTGGATGGCCAACTGACTGAGCTACCCAGGTGCCCCAAGAGCCAGACCTTTTACCTGAAAACAAAACAAAACCTCAAAATTCAGGTCTTTTGATAAGATAGCACCAAACCTTATATTCCTGTGTTACATTTAATTTCATGGTGTCAGTGAAGTTGTTAATTTCTGGTGGTTACTGCTTTATCAGTCCCTTAATTTTTCCATCTATTCTCTTGAATAATACATTTACTGAAACACCGTTTTCTGGGTGCCTGGCTGGTGCAGTCGGTAGAGCATGGGACTCTTGATCTCGGGGTTGTGGGTTTGAGCCCCATGTTGGGTGTAGAGATTACTTAAAATCTTAAAAGAAATAAAAGAAACGCCCTTCTCTTTCCCTTGTCTGCCAACTTATCTTTTTTTTCTAGTTTTATTGAGAAATAACTGACATATACCACTGTGTAAGTTTAAGGCATAGAGCATGGTGGTGTAATTTACATATATTGTGAAATGATGACCACAGTAGTTTCAGCTGACATCCATCTTCTCGTGTATATATATATATTTTTAAAGATTTTATTTATTTGAGAGAGAGAGAGAGAGAGCACATGAGAGGGGGGAGGGTCAGAGGGCGAAGCCGACTCCCTGCTGAGCAGGGAGCCCGATGTGGGACTCCAGGATTGTAACCTGAGCCGAAGGCAGTCACTTAACCCACTGAGCCACCCAGGCGCCCTTCTCATATATTACTTATCTTTCTAATTGCAGCTTCTTGCTCTGAAGCTCTGCCACAACACACCCAACTCCTTACCTCTTCATGTCTCTCTAGCAGTGTGGACTCTCCTGTCAGAGCTGTGATCACCCTATGTTGTCATTGTCTCTTGACCTATTTCCTTGTTAGACTGTGACATCCTGGAGGGTAGGGGTTCTATATTTTCTTGCTGTGTCCCTGTATCCCCGCTTGTACCCTTACTATCCATTTAAACCTAGGATTTCAGCTTATCGTTCTGTAGGCCCTAACCCTAGCCTTCACCCTATGCCTGGTGCACGGCAGGTGCCAAATAAATGTTTGCTAATGGAAAGAACATTGTCTTAATCCTAAGACTTTTATACTTCCAGACCCGTAAAAAACAAAAGGAAGAAGTGGACGTCGTAGGAATCAGTGACGGAGAAGGTGCCATTGGGCTCAGCAGTGACCCCAAGAGCCGGGAACAAATGATTAATGATCGAATTGGTTATAAACCCCAACCCAAGCCCAATAATCGTTCATCTCAATTTGGAAGTTTCGAATTTTAGAGGCAGATTATCTGGAATGCCAGAGCCCTGGAATGGAGTAAAATGCTGGCAGAAGTACAAACAAGATTTAGAGAATTGAGTGTTTGCAGTCAAGCAGAATGTTTTACCTCCTGCAGAGAAACACTTCTGCATGAGATTACTGATGCTTAACTTTTGCTCTAAGTGGAAATCTAAACTCTAGTTTGTCTCTGGAAAATTTGACTCTATAAAACTTGTCTGATTTTTGTTTTTAAAAATAAATATATTTTTGGAAAAGTGTGGAACACCTTTAATGAAGCATAATCATAGCCTGTTAACCCCCCAGACTTTAAAAGGTAATTGCTACAAGAGGTAACATCATTCTTTATTGAGAGACTTGAAGCACAGAACACTTCAGTTGATCCCTGTTACTTTCTTTCAACTCATCTATTCAGCAAGTATTTTATTGAGTGCCTGTTATGTGCCAGATACTGTTCTAGGCACTTAGTAACATCAGTGAACAAAATCAAAGATCCCTGCCCTTGTGGAGATTAGATTCTAGTGATTTTGTGTAAAGGTGGTCATGCTGTGGGTTTCCAGAATCTGTTTACAGAATGGCTTTGTAGCTAGTCTGAGTGTAATTTGGGGAGGGGGACAGTGGAGGGAAACACAGTAATAGGAATGCTCCTAACAGAATTACCATCATTCCAGTTTTCCTTTTCCAACTTGCCTAAGAATTTTTCCCACTAAGAGCCAATCAAGAGGGTGATTGAGAATCATGTTGGCGCCTGGCTGGCTCAGTTGGAGGAGCATGTGACTCGTGATCTCGGGGTCATGAGTTTGAGGCCCACTTTGGGTGTAGAGATTACTAAAAAAATAAAGTTTAAAAAAATCACGTCTTGTTGTTTTTACCATTTAGTTCAACTACAGGGAACTGCCAACTGTGGTAGAAGGAACCTCTGGAGTCATCAGTTCTGAAGAGACCCCTTAGCAAGATTTTGCCCAATTTTTCTAGGGGTAGCTTAAGGCTGGGTATTAAGAATGTGAAGGGCGCCTGGATGGCTCAGTCGGTTAAGTGTCTGACTTTGGCTCAGGTCCTGATCTCAGTGTCCTGGGGAGTCTGCTTCTCCTCTCTCTGCTCCTCTCCCTGCTCATGTGCTCTCCACTCTCTCGAAGATGAATAAAATCTTTTAAAAAAATAAAAAGAATGTGGCAGAGGCAGGGAAAGGAGGATATATAGTTTCTCTTCTTCCTCTAACCATTCTTAGAAAACCTTTATTCTTCCAGTTTGATCTAGGTCCTTCAATTCTGTTATTTTAATGGTCTTAAAGACACAGCAAGTCAGGCTCTAGATGGGAAAACTGAGTTACATCACCTTGAAGCTTACAAAGGCCAATATGGAAGGGCAAAAAACGGGAGAAACAAGCTTCTGCCTAAGCTCTGTCACTGGCTTCCCAGCACAAATAGGCACAGAAGCATGAAAACATTGTGCCTCCTGAATTTCTGCTTCCCTCCTGATTAGCTAACACTCAGAGGCACTATACTGAGTGCTTTCTGCAGATTATCTCAATCTTTGAACTCCAATGAGAGTACTAGATACTAATTTTATAAAAGGTGAAACGAATGCTCAGCTAATTAAGGGGTAGAGCTGCAATTTGAACCAGGCATACTGATCTCTGAACCCAAGTTTCTAAACTTTATTGCTACACTGCTTTCCCAGTCGCCCTGCTGGGTCTAGAAGGTGGGGTTCTCAGGGGTGGAGGGAGGGGATGCTGTTTCAGTTCTTATGAAATTTTATCTATCTTATGCTATTTTATCTATAAATAAATCTTTATCTATAAAGAATGAGACATTCACCAGATTAGATAATGGCTTCTTTATTGCCTATTGCAGCTATAAATCCTTTTAGACACAACTGAAATTACATGCATTGGTTCTCTTATTCCTTAGGTCCTAGGGTTTATGGTTTGGTTGCCTATTAAGTGCTAGGTGCTTTATATATATTGCTCCTAAATTGAAATGGTACTGTTACTGCCTTTTTTATAAATGAGAAAAAAATTAAAATTTTGTCTTTTTTTTAAAAAAAGATTTATTTGGGCGCCTGGGTGGCTCAGATGGTTAAGCGTCTGCCTTCAGCTCAGGTCATGATCCCAGGATCCTGGGATCGAGTCCCGCATCGGGCTCCCTGCTCCTTGGGAGCCTGCTTCTCCCTCTGCCTCTCTCTCTGTCTCTCATGAATAAATAAAATCTTTAAAAAAAATAAAAATACAAAAGATTTTATTTATTTATTTTGACAGAGAGCGAGAGAGGGAACACAAGCAAGGGGAGTGGGAGAGGGAGAAGCAGGCTTCCCACCGAGCAGGGAGCCCAATGCGGGACTCGATCCTAGGACCCTGGGACCATGACCTGAGCTGAAGGCAGACACTTAACCACTGAGCCACCCAGGCACCCCCTATAATATATACATATATATATTTATGTATGTGCAAAAAGGTGGTTTTATTAAAGCACAGGGACAGAACCTGTGGGCAGAAAGCTGCTGCTTGTCATTTTATTTTTATTTAAAAAAAAAAAAATCCAAAAAAAAAAATATATTTATTTGACAGAGAGAGACACAGCAAGAGAGGGAACACAAGCAGGGGGAGTGGGAGAGGGAGAAGCAGGCTTCCCAAAGAGCAGAGAGCCCGATGCAGGGCTCGATCCCAGGACACTGGGATCATGACCAGAGCCGAAGGCAGACGCTTAACGACTGAGCCGCGCAGGCGCCCCTATTTTTATTTTTATATTTTTTAAAGATTTATTTGAAAGAGAAAGAGGGTGAGCAGGGGGAGGGGCAGAGGGAGAGGGAGAGAGAATCTTCAAGCAGATTTTCCGCTGAGCATGGAGCTTGACCCCTGAGATCATGACCTGAGCTGAAACCAAAAGTCTGACGCTCAACCGACTGAGCCACCCAGGTGTCCCAAGCTTGTCATTTTAAGTAAAATAAGAGAGGAGAGTGAGATGAAAATTATAAAGGGATCTTGCCACTTAAAAGACTGACATCTTAAAAACTTGTGGTAATGGCCAATGGAGAGACCACTTATCCTGATGATCACTCTGGGTAGAAAGACATGCATAGAATCACAAAATCAAAATATTTATTTTGTTCTTTTACATATGACACTGTTAACACATTCCTACTACAGCAATACTGCTCTCCAGGAGCTTACAATCTAAAACGGTCAACATTAATTGTAGACTCAGTGATTAAGGCATTATATCAAATGCAGACTTTGTATCTTTAGATGTATCTTCTGAAAGAAACATATGGAGAGAGCAGGATCAAAATGAAATGACATGAACGTGTAACCCCTGCCCCCTCCCGTTCCAGCTCCTTATAAGAAACCCCTTGTGGCTAGATTCCAAGCCCAGAGCCTCACAGTCTGAAATAGAATTCCAGACAGCCCTACCATAGAAGTAGTGAAGAAACCTTAATTTCTAATTCCCTGGTGGACACAGAGGATTCCCCGTTTGTAGGCAATGAGGGGCTAAGTGTTCCTCCAAGTTCCTCCTTAGACAGCACCTAAGATTCTGTAACTGCTGATGTACCAGTAGGTAGGTAGCCCTTCTAGCAATTCCAATAGGACAATTTCTCCTCAAAATGTGCGTCAGGTCTCTACTAAAGTTTTACAACTTCTGGTTGGTATCTCCACTGCCTCGGGAGGGCTAGGGAGATTTCATAAACTAGATACATGGGATTAAAGACTGAAAGAAAGGGAAAGGAAAGCAGAACAAGGGGCAAAAGAAATGGGGATACAGGCTTCTCAGCGATGTGAACAGGGAAGGAGGAAAAGAGAAATTTGGATCCAAAATAACAAAAGTCAGGCACTAAATTCCAAATCAACAGGGATACAGAAATGAAAGTCAATGAGATCATTATCACAATCTAAGAGCTCAAAGAAAGATGGAATTTAAGCTTTAAATTTTTTCTCCTTCACTAGCTTCCTCCTTTGGCAACCTAATCTAAGAATTGCTGGAATTCAGGTTTTTCATGACACTCTATCTTGAATACCTGAAGACCTATCCCAGACTGATGTTTCTCCATTGAGTTTCAAATTCACAGCACTTTATCTTAACTGGCCTTGATTTTTGTTACCTTACTGATAAGGTCCCGTTTCTGAAAGGGTATTTTATAGCAGCTCAGGCCAAGATTTCTAGAGAGCACCAGCGTCACTTTTACATGGAGTCTTCTTTTATTTCTCACAGTTTTATTATTCCTTGGCTACTGAGACAATAATTGGCTATTACACCTTCATTTTGGACTCTCTCACTACCTGTCATTCACTCCGCTCATGCAAAATATCAGTACCGCAAGGGGCTGGAATGAGAGAAAAGCACAAAACTCTAAATGTTGGTTCTCAGATTTTACCCTCGATCCAGTAAGCTCGTAACCTTCTCTTGGTTTAAAGCCATGGAAGTACACATTCCTTGCTCTCCAATATTTAACTGGCACCCACAGAGAAAGTACAAACTTCAAAACCACAACAGAAGCCAACAGAATAGTTGCGTGTTGTCTCATGTGCCCTGAGGCACGACTGGAGTCTAGCACCACGGAGGGCAGGATTTAACAGACTGGCATGGGAAGAGTCACTTCACATAGGGAGTCTGGACTGAGGACCAGACTGTAGTGTAAACTAACTGAACAGAATAAAAATACAATATGATTCTTCACTGAGAAAAAGAGGTTTTGGCCACATGTGATCTATCGAAACCCCAAGAGTAACAAAGAAGTCACATAGAGAACGAGGATCTGCTTGGTGTGGACATGGATATTGGGGGCTGAGGAAAATCTGGTCATCAGCAGACCATACCCTAAACCTCTCCGAAATGAGGGTTGGGCTTTTGCCCTCCTGACCCATGACTGGCTGGTTTTACACTGCAGATCAGTCTTCCTTAATCTTGGAGCTACTTCCAAGAAACCACAGACCTTTAAAAATAAAGACTGGTGATTTCATACATACTGATGAAAGTTACTTGGACACATGTACACACAGCTGGAGCTGAATACATGTTTGTGGAACGATTAAGTATTGACCAGCAGCATTTAGTACACGAATTAAGCTTAGACAAAGCACCTACCAATTGCCAATTCAAATTCCTGTGCCCAGTACCAGGTAGCTCACCCCACCAGGTGACACTTCCTTAGTTTAAAGCAGAGATTCTCAAAGCATGGTCCCCTGACCATCAGCAGGGACATCACCTGGGAACTTGTTAGAAATGCCAATTTTGGGGCTCCGGGTTGAGGCCCAGAAACTAGTGTTTTACCACTAGTTTTTTTTTTTTAAATTTTTTTAAAGATTTTATTTATTTATTTGAGAGAGAGAGAATGAGAGATAGAAAGCACGAGAGGGAAGAGGGTCAGAGGGAGAAGCAGACTCCCCGCTGAGCAGGGAGCCCGATGTGGGACTCGATCCCGGGACTCCAGGATCATGACCTGAGCCGAAGGCAGTCGCCTAACCAACTGAGCCACCCAGGCGCCCCTTACCACTAGTTTTAACACTTGTTTTAACAAGCCCTCCAGGTGATTCTGATGCAGGCTAAAGTCTGAAAACAGGTTTAGAGGCCAACACCTGAAAACAATAACGAAAGAAAACAATTCACACTCTTTTGCTTCATTCAGCTGTGACAATCCAAGGTACTGAAAGTAAAGTATCAATGGTTTTATTTTAAAATATCTATTTCTATTTTCCTCAAATTGATTGTCATCTTTTCTTTTTTTGATTGACAAGTTCATTCTGATCAAAATGTTAAGTAGGAACACAAGTTGATGAGTCAGCCACCCAAGAATGCACACACACTTCTGCAAGCTCCAGGCTCATATTTAGTCTCAAACCACCTTTCTGCAAACTACCGAGGTTTCGGTACCACACATCACACTGAAAGGCACCATGTACCTCATACTCCTCGCATCCAAAGACTGCAGCTCACTTTTCAATGTTAGGTTTGGGTTCTGGGTTTAGTTGGGCAAGAATTTCCCTCAGCTGCCATCAATCCTAGCTGAAGTGACACTCTCTCCATCACCGGCCCAAGAAAAACCCACCAAAGTTACATAGTGTCTGTTAACCAAATAAAAACAGAAGACTACAAGAGGAAGCAGTGATCAAGTCATTGAACAGAAAGCGACCTGACTTGGACAAGAACATATAATTTGGATCTAGGATGATGGGGGAGGAGAGGACATCTCCTGAGGGAATCTCAACTCATTAGAAACAAACAGGGAGGTTCTCACTTAGCTCAGAGACTGTAGGCTAAACCTGTGTTGGGTGGGGAGGAGAGAGAGAGAGAGAGAGAGAGACAGAGAGAGAGAGAGAGAGTGTGTGTGTGTAAGGAGATAAGGAGCTAAACCTCTGGTGTGTGTGTGTAAGGAGATAAGGAGCTAAACCTCTGTTGAGCAGGGGTGTGTGTGTGTAAGGAGATAAAGAGCAAGAAGGGAAGATTGGAGTAGGAATCACATCTTTCAGTCTTGAACTGCTTCCCACTGCAATAGATAAGGCCGCACCAGGGAGTTTAACGTTAATGGCAATGCTCTGTGATGTCCACGACCACTGCCTTCTTCCAGCTGAAGAGGAAATATCCAGTGCCGGCCCCAGCGGCTACTGCAATGCAGAGGTAGCCGTTGTAGGTCATGAAGATGAGCATGAGGAAGTAGCTGATGACCACTTGGATGATATGCAGCACTGTTTGCAGGAGGTGAGGAAAGCTCAGCATCTGTTGCCTGGAGAGTAAACAGGGACACAACCATCAGGGACCCTTAGGAGTGTCCAGGCAGCTCTGCAGATCAGGATAAAGGGGGAGCAGTTGTGCTTGGGAGCTCAGCTTGAACTGGACTCCTTCACAGCCATCCTGGCAACTCATGGCTACTTGTGTGTATGTATGTTGTTTACGGTCCCTGGAAATTAAACCCGATAGGGCTGCCTGGATAATCAGCATTGGCCAGATACAGTTCTATGTCAGCAGGAGGAACCCTCTTTGAGAGGAGAGGAGAGGAGGGAGGACTAATCCCCTAACTTACCTCTACCTTGCCTCCTATAAAAGGGAAGCCCTAAACCCTCCCCTACTTATTTAAACATGTTCAGGCCTTCCACCTTGGCAACGTTCACATTCTAAAGAATGGAAATAGAATTGACGGTTGGGTGGTATAGTACAAGTACTTAACCAGGGGTCAGGAGCCTTGGCTAGCCCCTCTGTCCCTCACTAGTTCTGTCACCTTAGGTAAGTCACAACATGTTTGGGCTTTAATAAGCTCATCAGTTACAATGGGAATAAATAACATTGTGGTTACTTGAAAGTAGCATATTGATCTATAGGATTCCTTGAACTCTAATTTAGTTTAAGACCTACATTTCTATTAAAACTCAAAAATCTCAAAAAGCATTTGCCCATCTGTGGGAAAGCCACTAGTCATCCAAATACTTGCATTGACAGAATACAGACATCTGCACATCTTATATTGTAAAACAAAATTAAAATAGAGCTGGGGGCATACAATTTGTTATAGGAAAGAATCAATTGGATTCTGTCATTCTTTTATACCTGAACTGAATTTCTTTTAATCTGCATATTATTATTTTGGCAAACATATTTTTTTCCTTTTTCAATTTGGGCAAATATTTTTAAAATATAGATTCCTTACCTTCTTCCACAGTGACCAAGGCTTACACTTTAGAACAAATGTTCATGCTCAGAAGTGTTCCTACCATTCCTTCTTTGGCCTGCTCATGATTCACAACCTTAGCCTCCAGAGACAGTTTTCATCAAGGTCATATAGAATCACTACTAACTCAAGAAGAGGACTGTTGCTAATAAAACAGCTGCTTTGCTGCTTAACTCATCCAGCTCTCCAGAACTTCTGTCTAGATCTGTTCAGTCTTCTTACCCAACGGTTTTGTGTGTCTCCATGAGGATGGTTCCATTTGGTCCTGGGACGGGCATGGAATTGTAGCGGATGCTGACTTGTGACTTGCGCAGCAGGCTTTCTCGGGCTATCTTGAGTCCTTCATAGAACATTGCTAGTAAAAACACTGCCACAAAAGCTCCAGCCATTTCTAAGTAGGGAAGGAAAAGATGGTGGTACAGTCACACATGCAAAATCACTAGCTGGTGTGCTGTCCAAGCGAGACAGACAACATAGAAGAGAGCTACTCTCAATTTCCAAATATATTATATTGCTACCTCTCTACTTGCACAGGCAGACAGAGAGGGAAAAGAGTGAAGATGGTTTTCAATTAGTGAAAACCATTGTCTCCACTGGAGAACATACTCATTATCTGATTATGACACAAAAAATCATCTGAACAACAATCACCTTCAGGTCTGGCTACCTGGTGTCATAAATCAGCTTGTTATGACACAATGTAGAACATGCAAAAGGGGAATAAAACAACATTTTTGTTTGTTTTTATTTTTTTGTGACTGTGGTGATATATATATATATATTTTTAAAGATTTTATTTATTTGACAGATAGAGAGCACAGCAGGGGGAGTGGCAGGCAGAGGGAGAGGGAGAAGCAGGCTCCTCGCTGAGCAGGGAGTCCTACGTGGGGCTCGATCCCAGGACCCTGGATTCATACCCTGGACCGAAGGCAGACGCTTAATGACTGAGCCACCCAGATGCCCATAAAACAACATTTTAAAGTGTTGACTACTTCCTTGAGCAAAGGGGAAAAAACTAGAGAGATAAATCAAGAAACACTCTTAATTATAGAGAACACACTGATGGTTACCAGAGGGGAGGGGAGTGGGGGGGATGAGTGAAATAGGTGATGGGGATTAAGGAGGGCACTTGTGATAAGCACAGGGTAACGTATGGAATTGTTAAATCACTATATGTTAAATCACTAAATACACCTGAAACTAACACAACACTATGTTAACTAACTAGAATTAAAATAAAAACTTAAAAAAAAAAAACAAAGTGCTATTTCTTGAAAAGACATTTCAGTTTTTTTTTTAAGATTTATGTATTTTTAGGACGCCTGGGTGGCTCAGTCGGCTAAGCGGCTGCCTTCGGCCCAGGTCATGATCCCAGGGTCCTGGGATCGAGTCCCACATCAGGCTCCTTGCTCAGCAGGGAACCTGCTTCTCCCTCTCTCTCCCTCTGCTTGTGCTCTCTCTGTCAAATAAATAAAATCTTAAAAAAAAAAGATTTATGTATTTTTATTTGAGAGAGAGAAAGAGCATGCGCAGGAGTGGGGAGAGCCAGGGGTAGGAGAGAATCCTCAAGCCGACTCCAATGCAGCGCTCAGTCCTAGGACCCTGAGATCATGACCTGAGCCAAAATCAAGAGTTGGACGCTTAACCGACTGCACCACCCAGACAGACGTAGTCTTTCACACTGTGAAGTGTTGGTAATGATACGAATATACTCAAACTGCTGATTTAACACACTACCTGAACTAAATGCTCCCCTCTTTCCCCACATTGATTTGTGTGGCTCCAAAGATACACCTGATGCTTAAAGCAGTCCAACTGACCACTGAGCTTGTGCAATTTGAATTTAAGGCATGCCCCCTCAACATTACAGACATACAAAAATGGGTATTAGTTACCCCAAAAGTAGGATTACACTAAGATGAGCCATGTGAAGAATCAGGAATGATGTAGACCAGTTTGATATGCTAGACAGATCACTGGAGTAGGCAGGTCTAGAAAGTCTGGGTCCCTGTCCAATCTCTGACACACTCACACTGTGTGATTTAGGGCTCATCATTTCCGTATTTGAGACTTAATTTATCTGTAAAATGGAAGGATTGTACTGGATGATTAGCTCTCCACCTAGGGTTATTTTGTGGTCTGTTTACAAAATGCTTCTTATATCATTTTAACTTGACTATAGCCTTATGTCCAGGATCAATAACTTATCAAATAAGGAAGCACTGTGGAAAAGGATGAAAGGAAATGGATTTGCGAAAGACTCCTATCTGGTTTCTAAATTATTTTTCAGAAACTCTAAAACACACGCAAGTTATTATTATTTTTTAAGTAGTCTCCACACCCAGCATGGAGCACAGTGCAGGGCTTGAACTCACGATCCTGAGATCAAGACCTGAGCTGAGATCAAGGGTCAGATGCTTAACCAACTGAGCCACCCAGGCACCCCATAACATACACATATTATTCAAGGGAGGTTTACTGTAGGACCAAAGTAAGCATTGTGTATCCCTACCTTCTAGGTAAAGAGGAAGATGATTATGTATCATAACCATAAGCATTCAGTACTTATGGCAGGAAGAGGTGCTGGGTTTCCAGATTCTTTGTCACTGTCTCTCATGTGAGTGTCACCTCTGAATACCACCTGATGAGGGTGGGTTACTCACCTCCAGCTGTATTGATGACCAAACCAGAAAACAATAGCTCCACATTCTTGAAGCCGAAGTAGAAGGTCATACGCTGCCGGTAAACCAAAAACAAGTCAATTAGAGAGGATTGAAGATTCTAAATAAGAGACATTCACTGAAGTGGGAGACTTTCTCCATTACTACCACAGACACTCTCCACAAGTACTCTCCCTTGCTTTCCCTCCAACCTTTTCTCTCTCTCTTTTTAATTTTAATTCCAGTATAGTCAACATACGGTGTTATGTACATTTCAGGTGCACAATGTAGTGATTCAACAATTCTATGCATTCCTCAGTGCTTATCATGGTTAAGTGTACTGTCTTTTTCTCTTTTCTATACAAAGCATGAATACCAGAACTTAATTCAGAAAAGGGTCAATTCTGAAAGGAAGGAATACAGAAGAGTCCTAGAAATCATGGTTCTGGTGGGACTCTGAAATTAACCTGCCACATGATCTTGGGCAAATCACTTGTCTTTGTCTGCGCTTTTCCTCCTGGGTAAACTGACCTTTAAAGATAATAACCTGCCAGACCTAAAACTTGATTATTTCTATTACCCAAGTGGGTGTAAAAGGGTAGCCTCTCCCGTAGCACTCACCATCATCATGTTGCCCATTCCCCCGCCATGGGAGTGGGAGGCCGAAGTGGTTGGATGATGGTGATGAGGTACTGTTGTACTGTTGTAAGCCATGTGGCTTGTCTCCTTATGGTGGGAATGGTCCAGGTTTCCAGGAAAAGTTGAGTCAGCAGGAGATTCTTTTAAGAAAAAGAATTATACACAATAACTTCACGATATAAAACCTTGATTTTTTTTTTAAGATTTTTTATTTATTTGTTAGAGAGAGCGTGGGTGAGAGAGTGAGCAAGGGTACAAGCAGGAGGGGCTGCAGGCAGAGGGAGAAGCAGGATCCCTGCTGAGCAAGGAACCTGATGCGGGACCTGAGCCAAAGGCAGATGCTTAACCGACTGAGCCACCCAGGCGTCCCTGCCTTGATTCTTTTTGAAAAACATTTTTTAAGTAAGCTCTACACCCAACATGGGGCTTGAACTCATGACCCCGAGATCAAGAGTCACATGTTCTACCAACTGAGCCAGCCAGGTGCCCCTAAAATCTTGATTCTTTTTTTTTTTTTTTAAGGTTTTATTTATTTGAGAGAGAGAATGAGATAGAGAGCATGAGAGGGGGGAGGGTCAGAGGGAGAAGCAGACTCCCTGCTCAGCAGGGAGCCCGATGCGGGACTCGATCCCAGGACTCCAGGATCATGACCTGAGCTGAAGGCAGTCGCTTAACCAACTGAGCCACCCAGGCACCCTAAAATCTTGATTCTTGATAACTATTTATTTATGTGGGATTTCATCCAATACGGATTACCTTTGGAAATTGTGGCACAAGGGATTTGCACCTAGGGTTTCAGAGACCTAAGCCTTATTCTGCAAAGTAGTTCCTTTAACAGGTATGTTCAATGTATGTTCAAATTTAAATCTAAGATAAGGAGAAGAAAAGTAGTTTCTTTGGGTTGCAGGAAACAGACAATTTGTAATAGTGGACAAATTGATGCCATTAATGAAATTTAACTGCTCTAAGGCTTTTTAATCATAAATGTCAGTAGATAAAATGCAAGTGCTTCAAATAATTCGCCTAATTGGATGGTCTGTGTTCAATCAAGATATTAAGAATACATTTTCACATACAGGACAACCAGTCTACGGCTAATCTAAACTTGAAGAAAAGGTCTATTACTGCCCTGGGCAAGCAGTGTGCTCAGAGGATACAATTTCAATCCTAGCTCAGCATTAGCACTAAGAACACTGAAAACAAGGTATAAATTGAATGTTCTATATTAAATTAAGTCCAGACAACTGTATATTCAGCCTTGTGTCTTTACTACCACATCACTGCTTTATTGCAAAAGTCCATCTGGGACATAAACCAAGGAGCAAAAACTCCTGTAGCTGGGGTGGGGGTGGGAAGTGGGAAGCTGAAAAGAGAGGTGTTGGTGGATTCTCTTTATGTGTCCTTTGACTCCAGTTTGTGGTGGAAAGAGTGCTTTAGAAATTCCCAGTGGGGGGGGGGGTGCCTGGGGGGCTAGTTGGTTAAGCTTCTGACTCTTGATCTCAGCTCAGGTCTTGATCTCAGGGTCATGAGTTCAAGCCCTGAGTTGGACTCCATGCTAGGTGTACAGTCTACTTAAAAAAGAAAAAAAAAAAAAATCCAAGTAGGTATTCATGTTCATGAGCCTGAGTGTGCCTCTCACTCAATCAAATATTTATCAAGCTCCTACTATGTGCCAAACTCTGAGCTAAGTGCTAGTAATTCAGTGAGGAAGACAAACAAGGTACCTCATGGAAAGAGAAACACGGAAGTAAAGTAAACAGAACAATTTCATGGTCCATGATTAGAGAGATGAAGGAAACAAACAGGGTGAAATGGCTACATTACTAAGAGGTGGAGAAGAGGCATACCTTAGGTAGGAAATCTATATAGATCCAAGGAGTCATGTATAACTTAAAAGCACAATTATTCAGCCATCTATTTTTCCCTCCTCAAACTCCCCATCTCATGATTCTATGAGAGCAAGCTCAAGAAATAGGCTTGAATTTCCAGCAAAGGACAAGGCAAAGCATCAGTTAGGGATAATCAAAGTTCAACTGTGAATGTAAATAACTTTCATGCCAGACACTATATTACTTCGTAATTATAGAGCTTGACAATCTGGCATTATTAATACCATGGACATAAAGGACGTATATAATAGGGTCCTTGTCCATAAATTTTTTATAGCAAAGAATAAAAAACAACACACAAAAATAATCAACACGACAGCACCCATAAAATTTTAATGATGGGAAAAATGGTAAGTGGGCAGCAGTTTGCAGTTAAAGAATCATGGTAGAATGGAGAGATCCCCAGTATCTGAGTGATGATAGATTATGGTTTTTGAGCTAAGCAAATGTAGCGAAATACGTTACCCAGACGCCCCCATGAGCTCTGCTCTTTTGTCTTTTGTCTTTGCTTTACTCAAGCCTCTCTAGACTCCACAGCCAGCTTGAACCACTTGCTGCTGTCCAAGTACTGTTTTCTCTAACGTAGCTCCAGGTCACTGTCTCTAAGAACTGGGGTCAAGGTCTACAAAGTAGCTGTACTATACTTTTTATGGAATCAAGTTTCTTGATTTGTAAAGCAACTGCAATTAATGGAACCTGTGAGTTAGTAATGATGAGTGACAGGTGGAACCTCGGCAAAATTTTTATATTTACTGATTCACTGGATTTCTGGTTTTAGGACAAACTATGTGCACATGTTAATTCCAGGCTAATCTTCCTGTTCTTGTTTAAAACCTCCACTGTTCACGTCTCTTCTTATCCTTAGCCTTCTACTTCATCAAATTCACAAATTATTTATAAAGAAGAATACGAGCCAAAAAAAATCGGAATATATCACTCAGGGATAAAACTGGAAAACAACAACAAAAAAATCTTAGGATTCCTGACTTTCAACCTACCAATAAAATCCACCCCCAATATTGAGTTACCAAGTTGAGTTTAGAGCTAGGTGGAAAAATTAGGAGTATGGTATTTTCATTTACATTTTTGCCAGTTCAAAGGCAAACTCGTTCTCTCTAACAGAATTTAAGAGGGACCCATACTGGAGAAGCACCTTTATATTGGAGAATGGAGTGAGGAGCTCAACAACATAGCTGGAAAACATCTGTCGAGGACTTTTGAAGGTGCTCCAGTTGTACAACCCGGGAAAGTCCCTCACCCTCTCTGGAGCTAGTAGATCATAGAGGATGCTGGGAGCATGAAGGAGATAAAAGGCTTAAGAAGCATCCAGCGGAGTGCATGGCAAATGGTAGTGTTATCATTATGTGGAATATGAGGGGATAAAAGACCTTAGATAAGGAAATTCCAATGAATAGACCCTGTGGGAGAAGACATAATCAAAATATTAGCTGTTTGCTTCTCTCCCACAAAGTCTTCAAGCCAAGACCATTTTCAGGGCCCTTTCCACTTATCCCGTCTCCTGAGACCACAACGTGGCTATCCACCTTGTGGATAGGAAACTCCCTGGAAACACAAGAGAAATAATCTAGGACTTGACTACAGAAAAAAAAAATCAAGCATGAGTGTCTTTTTTTTTTTTTTAAAAGATTTTATTCTATTTATTTGACAGAGAGAATGCAAGAGAGGGAGCACAAGCAGGGGCAGTGGGAGAGGGAGGAGCAGGCTTCCTGTGGAGCAGGGAGCCCAAGACGGGGGTCGATCCCAGGACCCTGGGATGAATGACCTGAGCCGAAGGCAGACGCTTAATGACTGAGCCACCCAGGCACCCCTCAAGCTTGAGTTTCTATGGAATTTAGTTCACATAGAATAGCCAAGAAGTTGGTTTCTCAGGAAGGCTTTACACTCTTCGGTTCCTAGGGAATAATTTATCTCATCTTCAGTTGGGTACTTACGTCGGCTACATGTCAAGTTGTTTCTCTTGCCCTGAACACTATTAGATCTGGAAAACGAGATGGCACATTCTTCAGTGCATGCCATGTAGCTTTGCATTTCATTCTCTCTCCCCCTTCCCCTATAAAGCTTAACTAGAGGACCGGATTGTTTGCAGTCTAGCAGCTTTACCAAAATAAACATGAGTTTATGAACAGAAGTTAGGAAATTGGCAAGAAGGCTGAATGCTGATGCCCATCCTGAGTCTTAATACTGACCTTACTTTTAATAGTTTATTCGAAACATCCAATTCTTTTTTATTTTCCTGGTGTTGCACAATGATGGATAAGAAACGGTAATCCATGGGGACTATGGAGATTAGACCCCCACAAAAAGACTACACAGAAGTGGTCAGACATCTGCCACGTGGTCCCTCTTCTCCAGCACAGACAGATAAAATCTAGAGCTTTACACAATTCTTTTGGAGACTACCTACAGTGTTTCCTGATAAAGAAGATTAGGAAGAAAGTTTTTCTTCTTACAATGATTAAGGTCAGGTTCCTTTTTAGATTTGTAAAACCATTAAACAAAGGCAAATGTGGGGGTTCCTGGGTGGCTCAGTCCTTGAGAGTTTGCCTTCGCCTCAGGTCATGATCCCAGGGTCCTGGGATCAAGCCCCGCGTCAGGCTCCCTGCTCAGCGGGAAGCCTGCTTCTCCCTCTCCCACTCCCCCAGCTTGTGTGTTCCCTCTCTCGCTGTGTCTCTCTCCGTCGGATAAATAAAATCTTTAAAAAACAAAAACCAAAAAACAAAAACAAAGGCAAATCTATCTGGTTGCTCTTCTGCTCTCTGCAGTCATTACTTTTATTGGTGACTTCCTGTGACTTTAGGCAGGCACAGATAGGGAAAATTCAAGGTCACAGACAGTATACTACCATAAACACAGATTCATGCTTATGGACTATGTTCTCATGATCAAGCAACCAGTTCAACTGGACGAATCCTGCCTTTTGATGACCTGCGCAGGGTCAGCAGATATTCTGAGAAATAGCTCTGGCCTTGTTTCAAGTGTCCCTGTAGGTGAACTTTAAAATTCTCTTGATGGCGGGCGCCTGGGTGGCTCAGTTGGTTAAGCGACTGCCTTCGGCTCAGGTCATGATCCTGGAGTCCCAGGATCGAGTCCTGCATCAGGCTCCCTGCTCAGCAGGGAGTCTGCTTCTCCCTCTGACCCTCCCCCATCTCATGTGCTCTCTCTCTCAAAT